ATCAATCAATCAATCAATCAATCAATCAATCAATCAATCAATCAATCAATCAATCAATCAATCAATCAATCAATCAATCAATCAATCAATCAATCAATCAATCAATCAATCAATCAATCAATCAATCAATCAATCAATCAATCAATCAATCAATCAATCAATCAATCAATCAATCAATCAATCAATCAATCAATCAATCAATCAATCAATCAATCAATCAATCAATCAATCAATCAATCAATCAATCAATCAATCAATCAATCAATCAATCAATCAATCAATCAATCAATCAATCAATCAATCAATCAATCAATCAATCAATGCATCAATCAATCAATCAATCAATCAATCAATCAATCAATCAATGCATCAATGCGTCAATGCGTCAATCAATCAATGCGTCAATCAATCAATAAATGCATCAATCAATCTGTGGTAAAATGATCCAGAAAAATAGAAGAAATCAATGTTTGGAATGTCAGTAAACGGGAATGTTTCAATCTTTAATCTTAAATTTCTTCATGAATAGACCAATTATCGGTTTGTAAACATTCAGGATGCGCGCGCATCATGGTTGCAGAAAACCTGGAAGAGATAGCCTTTACAGCTAGAGAATTTCACGGATACGGGACAAAATAGTTAGGTTTAAAAAGAGTATAAATTATATTGATTAGATGTCATTTTCAAAATGTTCTCCGCATATTACAAGAGCTCGTCACCCAGCGATAAGCACTGTTATTCAACGAAATTGATGTTAGAGCATGGGATAGTCTTACAGATCCGAAACAGGGATGACGGTTTTTGTGGGCGGAGCCTATCTGGAGGCCGAAAATGACGGTTTTCAAGCGGCAGTCTATGGAGCCATGAAATAAAAGGTATAAAAATGTATTCTCGCAATTCCGAGATTATAACTCACAATTCTAATAAGGAAAAACAACTCGTCATTCTCTCTTTCCCCCTCGGCTCTTCTGGCTTTTTTCCCTCGGATTTGACAAACTCACTATTTTTGAGTTAAGTCGAGTTATAAAGTCCGAATTAAGAGATATAAACTTGCATTTGCGAGGAAAAAAAGTCAGAATTGTGAGATAAAATAAATAAATGTTATGTAAAAATGTTAATAGTAAGGTTTAATAATATTTCATGCTGTAACTGTAGGGCTAATACAATACGTCCCCTATGAACAGCATATGTGAATATTATGTAGACCTATTGTTTAAATCGAATTTATGCTTTAAAAGTAGAGTAATCATAGCAGTTTTCATCCATAGTATGTCCATTTAAACGTCTGCGTTTAGCTTCAAATGACGACAGAATTCTATCAAAATTATTTGCATTCCGATCTTGACATCAAAAGGCACAAACATTTTTTTTTTCTTTTATTCCATGGATTTTACCCATTTATCTCCACTTGTTCCCAGTGTTTTTCTGCAACCACTGTGCGTGCGCAGCTGCAAGTGACGTAACTGTGACATCTACTCTAAATTGGTCTATAAATTTGATAAAAAAAAAATAGTAGGGCTGAAATTAACTACAAATCTAAATTTGAAATGAGTCTGTACATTAAGCGATTCAAGCTAAATTCATTACAAATTGCAAGTGCAGCAACAATTTAAACGTGAATTTAATTTGACTCGATGTCAGCGACTGCATACCTCTCTGTCGAGCGTGTTGTGCATGACGTGTATCCCACCGGTCTCTCGATTAATGTAGAACATGTTATCAGGATGCTGTTCAGCAATGCTGTAGGCGATTTTTGTATGCAGAGTTCCTTGCTGATCTGCATCTGTTGCTGTGATGGTCTTTGCAAACGTGTCTGAAAAATCAAGGACAACACAGTAGCACAAACATACAATTCACTGCATTTCACAATTCACAGCTAAAATGAACATTAGCAGCAGTAAACCACTAAAAACATTTATGCCTTTTCACATAAATTATGATAACGGGACAGCTTATTATTGGCTTATTTTTGCACAGTTCATTGCACAATGCTATGTTTGGACCTCAAAACACTTTTACCTTAGTGCGTGGATTTTAATACACATTTAAATCGCATAAACAGCTCCATTTGTCTGTATTAATCTTGCTCTTCTTGTTCACTTGGTACAGCATTGTACTTGTGATGTGGAACGTTCAGGTCCGAGTCACAATAAAAGAGCTCAAAGACTTGTCAAAGCAAGCTAAAGTGGCATGTTTGCTTTAGCAAAGTGTTTTGATCTCGTTTGTTTTTATTAATGTTATAGGTTTAGTGTAGGCGTGTTATTTTCAGATGCAACAGAGCATTAACCTTTTAGCGCCACTCCCCCAACATTTCATCTTCCAAAGTGCCACATACAACAACCAACAAAATCGTTGCTACATTAGTTTCATCTGTTTAAAACAGAAAAACATTATTTTAAATGGTAATAATATTTGACAATTTTTTGGTCAAATAAATGCAGCCTTAATGAACAGAAGATACTTCTTTAAAAGCATTAAAAATCAGCAGTGTAGAATGTGACCAGTTTTCATGCATGTCAGGTCACATACTGTATAGATTATCCTGTCTCTTTGATTTTTGAGTCTAGATTTATACATACACATTGCCCCATGAAAACCATGTCCAGTGAAAAAGTGCAGTGGACAAATTTACATTTTATTAAAAGTGCCCCACGTATTCTACGCTCATGAGACAGGGTTAAAAGGCCACTGCACACTTTTAAGAATCCTCTAAAATTGTGACTGACAAACCATCTATTATAACGTAACAAAATAATTATAATTGATATGTTGCTTGCAAAAAACTTCAGTTCCACCTCTGTAATATGCTGTTTGTTTTGACACATCAGCGTTTACACGCGGCACTAACCTGCGATCAGATTTCAACAGGACAGTCTCTGGTTTCGTGATTGCATGCATCACGCAATATGTAGTGTGATACTGTGCATTGAAAAAGCAAAAAAGAAAGCAAAAAAGTCTGAAAAAACTGCAGTTTCTTCCAACTATACTTGTATTTTAATCCGAGCCCAAACGTGACACTTTAGGCAGGATTGTCAGTTAATTTATTAGAGTGCCAGTAATAACTGAACTTCAGATATTCTTCACATGATCTGTGCGCGTCTTGTGCTTGTAAATGTACTGTATGTGTTTCTCCAGTTATATAAACTGGATGGGTTTTTAGAGCTAAATGGTTAAATCCTTATTTTAAGCAGTGGTTAATTGACAGGACTGTACACTATTGCTATGTGGTCAGACGCATTATGGACCATTCCGAACGTGGTTGAAAGTTTTGGACCCTTGATTTAACCAGACTGGATCAACCAGTGAATTTGAATGCTCTTATACACTCTGCTTATGCATCCGTTGTGAAATGAGCGTTAGAATGAAAGTGCCATCAGAGCATGAAAATGTGGGCTTTATCTTTATCTGAAAGCCCATACATGCCCAAAGCATGACGATTCCTGCCTTTACAACCTCAAAAAATCTGTTATTCATTGCTTCACAATGCGTGTTCTGATGATCGAAACATAAACATGTGCAGGAAGGTAACGTGTGAGAACAGGTAAGTGCTTATATGTAACAAGTGGCAATTATTGTCGAATATAAGCAGTATCTGATTATGGTATGTGCTTCTGATTGACTGTTGTGTTTGTGTTTCCATCATTTTGACTCAGAGATGATTTTCTTTTTCCAGAAAATGCAAAAGTTATTGTCGTCACATTGAACTAAAACCTACTGACTTTGCTGACAAAAAACACTGATCATTTTTGTACTTTTTGGCGATTTTTACACTTCTTGTGTTCCTGGTCAAAAATTACACGCCCACAAAAAATAGCTTATACATTTCTTGTTTTGCTCTATTGGATTCAATCTTTTCAATGTAGGCCTCATTGATCTGAACTTATGCACATCAGTTGTGAAGTGAACATTGCCAAAATTCACAAATAATGCTTTTTGCACTTCAAAACTGAGGTGCTTTTAATCATGACTTTAAATTGTCTTTTGGGGAGGAATTTCTCAGCCAAATTGATGTGTGATTAATTTGCGATTAATTAGATTTATTAATAGGCACATCAATAAATTAGATTAGATCTTTTATTTATGTTTTTGTTGCTGTCCAAAACAACAAAATGTCCAAAAATGACAAATCATTAAAGTATTTAGCAAAAGCATCTGTAGACTTCACAGCCCAGTTGTTTGGGCTTTTAAAAACAATAGTCTTTACGATTATGACTGCATAAAAAAAAGCATGGCAAGAGTTCATCAGCAAAGATGAATAGTAGGCAAACTTCCAGTCACCTTAACCTGACTGTATATAAATATAAATGGATCCATTCAGAATTATTAAACGGACCAAAACACAAATTTAAAAAGCAAATAAACACATTCTGAATTTGGCAGCTCATCATCACCAATGAACAGTTCCTCTGTCAGAGTGAGTGTTGATGCCCATATAAACATCACTGACCATCGCAAACTCCTATAAAAACAGGCTTCTTCAGCGAGTGTCCATTATAAAACACCTGCCAGACATGCGACCACACTGAAATGTGCGAGAGGTTTAGATAAAGGGGTTTGAGTTACATCAAACAGTCACGTTCCATCTCTGCACATCTCTCAGAAACCAAACCAGCTCTAGCCTAATAATCACGACTGCTTAATATTTAAATGTTTTAAACTTTGTATGATTGTCACGATCTGTGCTAGGAGGAGCGCGGAACGAAGAACAAGGAGACGTGGAGTAAATAAACAGTCTTTAATTCTGGGAATGACAGGGGAATTTCACAACATCCAACAAGTAGAACCGACAAAGGAAGACTACACAGACTGGGGCTAATAAACACAGGGCAGTCAGCAGAACACAGGTGCATGGTATCACTGGGTCACGGGGAGCAAAACACACACAGACATTCCAGAACCCTGACAATTCGCCCCCCCTCCCGGACGGTGCGTCCTCGCATCGTAGAACAACAGGGGGGGGCTAAGGAGGAGGTTCCAGAGGAGGACGGACACCCGGGAGGGGGCCGGCAAACAGAGTCCAGAGAGGGAACAGGAGGGGCTTGGAGCAGGAGGAGCCCAGCTGGACCTAGGCCACAGCCATAATGTCGACCCACGGTGGAGCTGACGGAGGGAGGAGCCATGGAGGAGGAATGGCCGCCATCTCCAGGGGGCCGACCAATGGCGGTGGTGGAGGAGCCCGAGGCAGAGACGGAGAGCCGATGAGGCAGTGCGACGGGGAGGATCCGGACGTCCTAGGCGGAGCAGATTGCGCCGGTGACCGACGCGAAGATGTGGATCCAGGAGGCCGCGGTGGAGCCGGAGCAACCGAGGACTGAGGACGAGCCAAGGGGATGAAGGAGTCTGACGGAGCCAGAGGGACGAGGCGAAGCCAGAGGAATGGAGTCCCTAGGCGCAGGATGGTCGACACCAGACCAAGGCGGAGCTAGTAGACTGCCGGGCCATGGCGGAGAGGAGGGAGCTAGGAGCCATGGTGGAGCCGACGGGTCAACGGGCCGATGCGGAGTCTGGGGCTTAGAGGCTGGAGGCGGAGTCAAGGGAAACTCCAGCCACGGCAACGCTGGAGGATGGCAGTCCCGCGGAGCTTGCACCACATAGGTGGTGGGCTGAGGGCGAGCAGAAGGGCTGCCAGATGAGAGCGGAGGAGGAGGCAGGAGCGGGTGGGAGGACGGGCAGTCGGGACTAAATTCTGGATCAGGAGCCCCCTCTAGGCTGAACCCGTGAACAGGATTGCGCTCTGGAAGAGCGGACACTTGAGGGCGCTTTCTAGGAGCAGGCACTGGAAGGCGCTTTCTAGGAGCGGGCACTGGAAGGCGCTCTGAACTGGATTCGGGGGCTGGAGCCCTCTTCATTTTGGCACATACGCCGCGCCATACTCAGCTCACCCTCAGCCACGGTGCAGGGGGAGGAGCTCTGTGCTCACACCTTCAGCGGCTCTCTCCCTTGTGGCGGGCGTTGTTGTCGGCTCACACACCTTGGCTGACGTTGTCAGCAGCTCTGGCTCCTCGGCGATCCTCAGCTCTGTTGCTCCGTGCGGTGATGGATCGTCGGTCGTGGCGGGCTCCGGCTCTCCATCAACGGTGGGATCGGGCATGCGCTCCGGGGAGATGGTGGGCTTGGCACTGGGTCAGGAGTGGAAATGGCAAGATTCTCCTGGGAACAGGCGGGGGACGGAGATTCATTTCTCGCTAGAGTCCACTCCACGAAGGCGGCAAATTCCACTCGAGGACCATCTTCGGACGACGGCGCTCTGCCCGCGGTGTTCAGGTTAGCGTCATAGAATGCGCAGAGAGCGTCGTCCAGGTAGCTGGTAAGTTCGGCGAGGGCCAGAAACAGTCTGGTATGGTCTATGAGCGAGCGCCCCAGCAGGAGGAGGAGGAATTCAGGGCGAAGGAGGGGATCCATAGAACACAACGGAAACAAAACACTAAGGGAAAAAACACAGAATGGAGGGTAGACACATGGAGGTTACTGTTTTTTTTGGGTCGGTTCTTCTGTCACGATCTGTGCTAGGAGGAGTGCGGAATGAGGAACAAGGAGACGTGGAGTACATAAACAGTCTTTAATCCTGGGAATGACAGGGGAATTTCACAACATCCAATAAGTAGAACTGACAAAGGAAGACTACACAGACTGGGGCTAATAAACACAGGGCAGTCAGGGGAACACAGGTGCTGTTCCCTACTGTTATGGAATCAATCAAATTAACACAATTAACATGAGTAGAAACTGGGTCACGGGGAGCAAAACACACACAGACATTCCAGAACCCTGGCAATGATAGGTTACATATTTCTCTGTCTCACTCTCTATCTCTCTCGGGGATGGCATTTATGCAAGTGTTCTTTATAATTTGTTCAGATTAGCATTTGTATGCATAGTAAAACGTTTTTGTTTTTTTCAACCTCCATGTTCCCTAATCTGCTATTTATAGTGTCAGCCTCCTGTTATTTGAGGCTGTGGTTGTCCTGACATTACTCAGCACACAGAGTTGTATATATTCCTCTTATAGGACTCGAACTCTGGTCACAAGGCATATTTGTTCAGTGATAATTACGAAGAAAAAAGATAGGCTGTAAACCATGGACATAACAGTTTTCAGTTTTCTCAAGTAATTGTACGGACTTCTGGGTAAAGCCTCGCCCTACTTCCGGTTTTATTCAAAAACAGATATGGATATGAATAATTGAGATTGTTACAGACACGGGCTCCGCTGCAGACCCCAAATATAGAATAAACTAATAACCCCAAAAATTTCCTTTGCAATTTTTTTTGCAAGATATTAAGTAATCATTCACAGTGAAGGCTGGAGAAAGTAACATTTATTCAAGAACTCCTCGTTCCTCGTTTGCTCCCCGAGTGAATTGTGACACCAAGCCAGAGTCTTGATTTGACCGTGGTTGAAATGCTTTGCATGACCTGAAGAGAGCTATATCCCTGAAATACATAACTGAAACGATGTTTGGTTAAAACGCCAGAATACTGTTCCATCATTAATGAATAACTACAAACGAACAAATGGGTAACAAAATACTAATATTCTAGTTACCACTATTAAATAACAAGAAATTAGTAATTATTATAGTAAACAGTCACGTTCCATCTCTGCACATCTCTCAGAAACCAAACCAGCTCTAGCCTAATAATCACGACTGCTTAATATTTAAATGTTTTAAACTTTGTATGATTGTCACGATCTGTGCTAGGAGGAGCGCGGAACGAAGAACAAGGAGACGTGGAGTAAATAAACAGTCTTTAATTCTGGGAATGACAGGGGAATTTCACAACATCCAACAAGTAGAACCGACAAAGGAAGACTACACAGACTGGGGCTAATAAACACAGGGCAGTCAGCGGAACACAGGTGCATGGAATCACTGGGTCACGGGGAGCAAAACACACACAGACATTCCAGAACCCTGACAATTCGCCCCCCCTCCCGGACGGTGCGTCCTCGCATCGTAGAACAACAGGGGGGGGCTAAGGAGGAGGTTCCAGAGGAGGACGGACACCCGGGAGGGGGCCGGCAAACAGAGTCCAGAGAGGGAACAGGAGGGGCTTGGAGCAGGAGGAGCCCAGCTGGACCTAGGCCACAGCCATAATGTCGACCCACGGTGGAGCTGACGGAGGGAGGAGCCATGGAGGAGGAATGGCCGCCATCTCCAGGGGGCCGACCAATGGCGGTGGTGGAGGAGCCCGAGGCAGAGACGGAGAGCCGATGAGGCAGTGCGACGGGGAGGATCCGGACGTCCTAGGCGGAGCAGATTGCGCCGGTGACCGACGCGAAGATGTGGATCCAGGAGGCCGCGGTGGAGCCGGAGCAACCGAGGACTGAGGACGAGCCAAGGGGATGAAGGAGCCTGACGGAGCCAGAGGGACGAGGCGAAGCCAGAGGAATGGAGTCCCTAGGCGCAGGATGGTCGACACCAGACCAAGGCGGAGCTAGTAGACTGCCGGGCCACGGCGGAGAGGAGGGAGCTAGGAGCCATGGTGGAGCCGACGGGTCAACGGGCCGATGCGGAGTCTGGGGCTTAGAGGCTGGAGGCGGAGTCAAGGGAAACTCCAGCCACGGCAACGCTGGAGGATGGCAGTCCCGCGGAGCTTGCACCACATAGGTGGTGGGCTGAGGGCGAGCAGAAGGGCTGCCAGATGAAAGCGGAGGAGGAGGCAGGAGCGGGTGGGAGGACGGGCAGTCGGGACTAAATTCTGGATCAGGAGCCCCCTCTAGGCTGAACCCGTGAACAGGATTGCGCTCTGGAAGAGCGGACACTTGAGGGCGCTTTCTAGGAGCAGGCACTGGAAGGCGCTTTCTAGGAGCGGGCACTGGAAGGCGCTCTGAACTGGATTCGGGGGCTGGAGCCCTCTTCATTTTGGCACATACGCCGCGCCATACTCAGCTCACCCTCAGCCACGGTGCAGGGGGAGGAGCTCTGTGCTCACACCTTCAGCGGCTCTCTCCCTTGTGGCGGGCGTTGTTGTCGGCTCACACACCTTGGCTGACGTTGTCAGCAGCTCTGGCTCCTCGGCGATCCTCAGCTCTGTTGCTCCGTGCGGTGATGGATCGTCGGTCGTGGCGGGCTCCGGCTCTCCATCAACGGTGGGATCGGGCATGCGCTCCGGGGAGATGGTGGGCTTGGCACTGGGTCAGGAGTGGAAATGGCAAGATTCTCCTGGGAACAGGCGGGGGACGGAGATTCATTTCTCGCTAGAGTCCACTCCACGAAGGCGGCAAATTCCACTCGAGGACCATCTTCGGACGACGGCGCTCTGCCCGCGGTGTTCAGGTTAGCGTCATAGAATGCGCACAGAGTCTAGAAAAATTTAAATGGAAAAAAAATGGAATCCAGAAAAATTTAAACAGGAAAAAAAATGGAATTTGGAATTTGAACATCTCAAACAAATGTCATTAACTATTAAAAAAATTAATTTCATATTATTATGGATTGACATTATTTTTCATCTTTTTATTTTACTGTATGTGTTTGTGAAAACGAGTTTGTATATTTGTTACCTTTGCTTTGTCAATGTTAAGATACTTTGTATATGTCAATAAAAGTACTGCAGGCTTTCTCCAGGTCTTTATCAGTTTATTAAAATAATGCAAAACAAATGTTTACTTTCATGAGCCTTCACGTATTTGTGAGCTTGCAGGAATAGTTACAGGCTTCCGTACAGTCTTCTGGGATTTCTAATGGTTCGATTCTCTCAAGTCTGCATCTCATGCATCCTTGATATCAAGATATCAAGAACACATCCGGGACTTTCATGCATCTTCTGTATACTTGTGTTCTTTTTCTTGAGTGTCGCTAAAAAGTTAATGCTCTATCGTGTTGGAAAATAACAAACCTCCAACACCAAACCCAAATGTAAACCTACTGTGTTTTGCATAGTTTCAGTGCTTCATCTCTCAAGCGCACCACTGTATCACGTCAGCTACTGAGCAAGCTTACTGCGTTTGAAAACCCATCCATATGAAGCTTTATATGTGACGCTAACATTCAAAAGTATCAGTTTTCAAATCTGGCAGCATGTTAAAATTGTTCTGAAGTCAAAACATAATATTGTGTGAAAATAAGGCTTTCTTAATCGAAACTCTGGCCCTGTAAATCACACTTTCTTTGAAAAGGAATAAAAGTTGTCAGAGTTTTACTGCCTCTAGTGTTCATTTCAACTGGAAACTGCAGCGATTCATACATATAGATTTGTTTTTTGAGTTTTGCAGAAATGTAGGTAGAGGCATGTATTTCCAGTAGCTTAGCCACTACTAATAAAATGCAGTTGTTAATTTAGTAAGTTAATTCAGCTAACACTACAAACACTTTGAACAATGAAAATGACTGAGCCGATTTCCTGATTGTCTCAAGCATCATGTATGATTGCAGTACCTCTTGCGCTCCGCTCATAAACAGCTCCGGTTGTCAGGTTTAACACAGGAGCATTATCGTTCTCATCCTCCACCATGATTCTCAAATCAATATCTTTCTCAGCATGACTGCCGTTCAGAAACCTGGCCACCCCTCGAAGCTGGAATGCAGGAAAATCACCAAACATTTCACAAATTACATACAAGTTTAATTCAATGGGAACTACTTAGATTTTATTTTTTTTGTGGGGTGATGAGACACTTAGCTCACGAGACGAGACACAATTATTACACAGTATTCTTAAGAAATCCTTGATGACAAAATACAGTACATGACTGGAAAAATAGTCTGCAGGTGCATTTTGAAATGCTTTAACTAATCATCTTGTAATGCATGTCATTCCAGTTCTGAGTATGAATTATCATATGCAGTAAAAGACAACAATATACAAGCACTGTAAAAGGTTTTGCCACAGACTGCTTCTCTCCTGTATGATTTCACACGAGTCTCTTCAGACCTTATTATGAGCTTCTAGAACTTCTGACTTCCTAACTCAACTCCTTCCCACAAGTTGAACATAAAAACAGTATAAATAACAAAAATATATAGCACAAGTTTTTTTTCTTAGACTTGTTAAGTGCAACCATAATCAAAGTACGCCCTCAATATTCAACAGACCAGGTATTTCTTAAAGGATCATATGATGCGATTTCAAGTTTTCCTTTCTCTTTGGAGTGTTACAAGCTCTTGGTGCATAAAGAAGATCTGTAAAGTCGCAAAGACTAAAGTCTCAAATCCAAAGAGATATTCTTTATAAAAGTTAAGAGTCACCCACACCTATCTAAAACGGTTCGTTCTAACACGCCCCCACACGTCTACATCACTATGTGGGAAGATTTGCATAACGCCGCCCAAATGTGCACGCAAAGAAAAAAGGCGTAGCTTTTATTCTCGCTGTAGTATTGCTGCCGCCGCCGCCATGTCGATGCAATGCAACGCGTAAAAAGACAGTATAAGTCATTATAATCAGTAATTATGTCCCCACTGGATGCAACAAATGCCTCGTTTATAATGGGTTTTAATGTTTTTGTCTCGTCGCTCCGGCCGGACAGGGCATCACAGTATGGTGAGGGGCGTAACATTTCCGTCACACGCTTGAGGCATTCGGCCAATCACAATGCACTGGATAGCTGGCCAATCAGAGCACACCTCGCTTTTCAGACCGATGAGCTTTGTAAAAATCGACGCGTTTCAGAAAGGCGGGGCATAGAGGAGAAACAATAATGTACAGTATGTGGAAAATAATGTGTTTTTTGAACCTTAAACCACATAAACACATTTCATTACACCAAATACACAAAATAATGTTCTTTTTAGCAGCATCATATGACCCCTTTAAAGCATGATACAGAGCTAATAGACAGTAACAACTACACAGCCCAGCCAAAGATAGGTTTGATATTGGGAGATCAGGGAGCCGCTCTCAAAATGTGGTGCTCAGCGTGCAATCTACAAGAAAAGACATTTGTCAGCATAGATATGTCTATACATATCTATGTTTGTCAGATGCTTAGCTCTGTTGCGCAACGAGCAGAGCAGACGCTTTCAGTTTAGAATTGAAGCGCCCATTGTCCAACTGAATTTTTTCAGTTGGACAATTTTTTCGAAAATCGTCACATTGTAATATCGCAAGATCTCGTGGCATGAGCTCTCGTCACACCCCTACTGTTAAATACATAATAATGTTTATTTAAGTTGGCAAATTGGATATATTTACACCATTAACTTTTTTATGTCACCAGTCATTTCAGTATAAATTCTCAGTCACAGCATAGATTTAAATATGTATTAGGCTATTTAATCTATATTTTATGACAGACCCTCCCTTACCCTTTCATTCTTCTCTCATAACCCTTCATTTTCTCCTTGTCCTGTTTTCTAAAAAAAGTACATGAAACACCCGTTCAACTAAACACAAATGATATATGATAAGTATTCCTGATAAGAGAGAATAAGCAAATATCATGAAACCCTGCCTTTTTAAAGAAATCCCCTGTACGACTCAGGAGATGCTGGTTTTCGGTTCGGTCTAAGCATGTGAACTCTGATCAACAAGCACAAACTCTCTCTATCCATTCATGTTAGCTTGCTACACTCTTTTTAGAGTATAAGTTATTTGATATCTAGTGAAGGTCATGTTCATGCAAGCCTGATCTGTGCAGATGATAAGCAAATCAACCGTCATTTTCCTCACAGCTTACAAAACATTCTGGCTAAAACCACAATTTATCATTGCATCAGTGTCTCAGCAATGGATGCTCTGCAGTGAATGGGTGCCGTCAGAACGAGAGTCCAAACAGCTGATAAAAACATCACAATAATCCACAGCACTCCAGTCCATCAGTTAACATCTGGAGAAGACAAAAGCTGAAACAAATCCAGCATTAAGACGTTTTAAACTTTAAACCATTGATTCCGGCTAAAATACAAGTCCATAATAACGCTTCCTCAAGTGAAAAATCATCTGGTCTGAATCAGGAGAGAAATCTGCACAGATCAAGCACTGTTCACAAGCCAAAACAGCTCTAAACAAATATGTGGCTAGATTTTGATGTGAGAGACAACAGCAGATGGATTTTTTTCACCGGAGAAGGTGTTATTATGGATTTGTATTTTAGCCGGAAGCAGCGGTTTGCCGTTAAAACGCCTTAATGTTGGATTTGTTTCTTACAAACACACAGCTTTTGTCTTCTCCAGATGTTAACTGATGGACTGGAGTGCTGTGGATTATTGTGATGTATTTATCAGCTGTTTGGACTCTCATTCTGACGGCACCCATTCACTGCAGAGCATCCATCGCTGAGACACTGATGCAGTGCTACATTTCTCCAAATCTGTTCCCATAAATAAACAAACTCATCTACATCTAGGATGGCCTACATTTTCATTTTTGGATGAACTATTCCTTTAACACATGCCATGTGGGTTGAGTTGATTCTAAATGTGAAAAACGAATCATGATTTCTCAGTCAAAACAAATGCATACACACCCTCTCAATGACATTGCCTCTCTTTAAGCATGTGCTATGCTTAAGAAAATACAAATGATGGGTTTTTGCATGAGCTGCACTGCATTTAGTGATCTAGTCATTCAGGCAGGGAAGGACAGACACCCATGCAATAAATGTTAATAATCGTGTGTAAAAGATGAAAGGGCTGCTCACATAATAAACGGGAGTTTTCTCTCTGTCTAACACTCCATGGATCTTGACCGAGCCGGTCTCTCTATCAACAGTGAACAAGTTGACAGGCGGCTGATCAGCACCTGATCCAGTCAGTGAATACTTTATACTCGTCCTGGTCTCCTCATCTGAACGGATCTGAAAACAAATCCATTTCACACTTTAATGGGGTTTCAAAAGAAGCATCTGTTAAATGAAAATGTCACTTTGCCTTTTTTTTTTTTTTTTACAATGCAGTGATACATAAGGTAACACTTTATTTCGATAGTCCACTTTAGACATTCTATTAACAGTAAGTAACTTTGCAACTACATGTCAACTAGCAGTTAGTAGAGTATTAGTAGACTGTCTGCTTAATATCTTCTAACACTTTCTTTGTCAAATTCTACTAACCCTAAACCTACCCTAAGTCTACTCTGAGAGTTAGTAGACATGTAGTTGCAAATTAATGAGAATTAGTTGACATGTAGTTGACATGTAGTTATAAAGTAAGTAACTTTGCAACTACATGTCAACTAGCAGTTAGTAGAGTATTAGTAGACTGTGTGCTTAATATCTTCTAACACTTTCTTTGTTAACTTATTCTACTAACCCTAAACCTACCCTAACAGTCTACTCTGAGAGTTAGTAGACATGTAGATGCAAATTAATGAGAATTAGTTGACATGTAGTTGACATGTAGTTACAAAGTTACTTATAGTTAGTAGAATGTCTAAAGTGGACTATCGAAATAAAGTGTAACCATACATAACTAGAGTTTATTCATCCTAATCCTTGTAATTGATCATTCATGGCAGAAGAGGGGGAAAAGTGCTTATAATTTTTTTTATTCTGGAGAGATCTTACAAATTGCCTACTTATTTCCCGTTGCTCTATTTAATTTACAATGCAACTGTTCATCAAAACTTCACTAATGTTTGGAAAGCTACCGTTCTGTATATATAAAAAAATTAAAACAAAGTATTTTTCCCCAAGAAACACTGCAGAGAACTAAAAAAATAAAAATGAGTGAGTAATTAATCGCGATTAATCGCATACAAAATGCAAGTTTTTGTTTGCATAATATGTGTGTACTGTGTATATTTATTATGTATATATACATGCATGCATATATTTTGAAAATATTTACATGCATATATTTATATTCATATCATTTATATTATAAATAAACATATTTTTCTGAAATATATACATGCATGTGTGTGTATTTATATATACATAATAAATATACACAGCACACACACATATATTATGTAAACAAAAACTTTCATTTTGGAAGCGATTAATCGTTTGACAGCACTCATAAAAATACAAATAATGAAGATCTTACTTTGGCTATGTAATCCTGATTTATATAATTGACATTTTCCTTTAGTTTGTGTGGTGGGATTATCCATTCTCTCTTCTGTCTGATTTTCTTCTGTTGTCCTTCAGATGCCGAAGTGTTCAGGATCTACACAAACACACAAACACAAGTGTCTATTTCACCTAATAATGTGAGAAACTAAACTGGAGAGCAGTAAAACAGGTGTAAGAATCGATCCAAAATACACACAATTACAAATACAAATACAAATAGTGTCTATTTTTGTCACAAATTTTGTCTATTTTACACAGTATGTGTATTTTACTCACATATCTTTATTTTTTATTATCTGTGTGTTGTTGTTGTTGTTTTCTCTGTTTACTGGAAGTTTCTGTCACCAAAACAAATTCCTTGTATTTTGATTCTGATGAATTTACAACTCGATTGCATCATGCAAAATAAAAAATATTCTGTGCACAAGATGATATTTACCATAAATCCCGTTTCACATTTCATCTCAAGCATGCTTTTGAAAGACTCTATTGTCTTCTTGTAAACAAGTATGCTTATTTTTGAAAAAAATAATTTTTTTAGAGGCTATACATTGTTTGGGAAGGTGAAAATAAAGCCACCCATGGGACCGCTGACATTTGCAAGAACCAGGTTTTTAAAAAAAGCAAGCCAAGAATAATAGTGTTAATAAAGCTTGTGTTAGTTTTAATAAAAATAATTCTCTGATAAATGCCTTAAGTTGAAGAATCACCGACATACAGTCGACCTTTTGCTTTGACTTCCTCTTACTTCCCACCCATGCTCTCTTCCTCTGGCAATCTGGTAATGCAATAATTTAACTAATAACATCTATCTCTATGAAAAAAGTCAGTATTAGGTGACATCTAGCCTGTATATACAGTTCTTTAATTAATATCTTCCCATAGTTCATTAATAAAGAATGAGCAGCACACACACACACACACACACACACACACAATCCTGGCTGAGAAGATTAAAGGAAAACAGCAGTTTACACACGTAAATCATATAAAATAATTACATTATTCATACACATTCACTGTATTGAACACATGTACACATAAAAAAAAAAATCTAATATTTTCAAATATGGACTAACACAGCTGTTGGGTTACATTTTTAAATACAATTTTTAACCCAAAAGTTGGATTCGTCCATATTTGACCCAAAGTTGGTTTGAAACAACCCAGCATTTTTTTAGTGTTCATGAAGAAGTGTTTAGGAAAAAATATCAAATGAAAGAAACGAAACTTTGAGGATGCAGACAGAAGAGTTAAGATTATATTCGAGTCAACATGAACACTGAACGCTTCAGTCTTTTCGCTCACCGCCAGAATCAGCGCAACGCTGAGTGAAATGCCGCAGAGGTTCGCCATAAGCGCCGCCGGTGCTGCCGTGACTCGCGGAACTCAGACGCGGACTGAAGTGCGGTCAGCGGCGGGCGGAGCTTCAGCACAGCGCCGGAGAATGCGTCCTCAGACACACCCTGTCGACTCTGATAACACCACACACACCATAGTGCGTCCTCATGATGATTCTAAAGAATAGCATGCTAGAAATATGAAATATCGTATTAGTATTTGAAAAAAAAATGCATTTTCTTTTATAGAACGTTCATTCAGTTATCTGGCTTTGCTAATGTTTGCTATTATTTAGAATCCTCGGAGAATGTTCAAAAGTAGCATTCCCATAATTTTTCAAATGGAATGTTCACAGAACGTAAACATTCACAGAACACATTTTTTGTTTGCTGGGCGTGCAGCATTGATTCATTATTTAAAACCAATGCTGCATGCAGCAAACAAAAATGTGTTTGCAAAATGGACATATCTTTTCATTTTTACAGTTTGTCGTTGTAGTTATTCATTGCTCTTTGTTGACATTGTTAAGCCCTTGGTAACCAAATCACTGACTATAGACAAGCCAATGACTAACTTTAGGCATTAGTGAGAAATGCGGGCTGAGAACTGGACATAGACCCCAACACCCTTCTGCATATAGATTTTGAAATAATGTGTCTGTTCTGTGTAACCCAAGCTAAAGAATAATAATGTGCATTTGATCAGATATACTGTAACTGCAGTGCAAGGTTATGAGATGCATTATTTGAATGCTTGGCCAAAGAGATGTGTCTTTAATCTAGAATTTTTAGAGTTTGCTAAATTTCACAAATAATCACAAAAAAAACAAAAAAACAAGTTACAAGTTGAACTGAATGTGACAATTACCTGTATATATATTTAAGACTTATCAGTTTTGATAATCAGTTTTTTTGTAACCATTAAGAAAGAAAGAAAGAAAGAAAACTGCTACTATCGAAGCTGTTTCCATTTAAAAGTAAAAATAATAATAAACAAAGAGTTGTGAAATTTTAAGTAAGAAATAATTGTGAGATATAAAGTTACATTTTTAAAATATAAAGCTGTAATGGCAAGAAATAAAATCACATGGCTTGTATTGTGTTTATTTTCTCTTTATGTGCAAGAAGATCAGAAGACATATGCATTTGTGGAGCCAATAGATACAACTTCTGTGTGTCATGTGGAGTTTTACAGGGTTTCCCCAATTGTTTAAACACTGTCCCAAAACTCTAAACACGAAACTCTAGCGAAAGCAAAAGCAAAAGCAAACACTGCATTCAAAACTATTTACTGTAACATTGACAAACAATCACTGAGTAACACAGGGCTGCTGATTTGTGTGACTGCAGGATACTACAGTACACATACATATAGAGCATAGTGTAGATGGTAGGTAACTCAATTCTGAATGTACAGTTGCAAAGCAGTATATCGTGCTGTTCTGCACATCGCATTTTAACTTGATTTTAACCAAGTACCCTCCGGAACAAACCATTATTGTTGAACAGGGGAGCGGCGGCGCTATTCTAGCGCGAATATGTTGTGTTAATAGTGACATTGTGCTTTACACACCAATATCTGGATAGATTAATATCATAATTATATTTCAACCGTCTTGTTTCTTTATTCAGTCTTGTCGGTTTCTCTGTTTCGAGTGCGATGGAATGCCGCGACGCCCCCCTCTGTTCCGCGAGCAATGGATCGTTCCGGTTTCGCGGTCAGTGTGTTTGTATTGACTTGAAGCGTTAACGTTAAACGTCAAGTTACGGTACGCTAACATGTCTGTGGCTTTCGCTCCGCACCGGCAGCGCGCCAAGGGCGATATAACGCCTGCCGGGATCCAAAAGGTAATCTCACTGAATCATTTCTCAAGCAGAATGAAACCGATGCTAAGTGCGTTAGCGGGCTCGGCTAGTTAGCTGTAGCATCTCCCGCCGCCGCACTCAAAACACCACAAACGAACAATTCGGACAGGTGTTTGTCACCGGATTCAACAGCTGCTACCGAAGTAAACCCGAGCAGCACGCGGAGCTGATTTCGAGTCGTTGTCCAGCGTCTTAAAGCTGTTGAAATCTGCTGGGCTCCGCTGTGTCTTTGTTAGCCGCTAACGCTAACGCTAACGCTCGGCTCTCATGAATCACAACAGAGGATTGTGTGAAAGCGTCGCAGTGTACACGTTTAAACGGAGAGAACGGTGTCAGCAAGTACTCATTGCTAATATCGTTACTGTACACCTGGTTTTATTGTTATGTTACGAGCACGTACGCTGATTGCCGACTTCTCCTGATCGATTACGCGGGTCTGAAAAGGCGTACTTGTGTCTGATTTGATAATTTAAATATTTTGGTAGCTGTTTTCATAAACCCTTCTGAGAACCAGAAAAAAAAAAAATGATTTTTTTTTAATTTTTAAATTTTTTTATTATTATTATTTTTTTATGTCATTAACAAATGATGAAAAAAAAGATATTTTCACAATGTATCTATACACTGCATCTAATTTGCATATTAATGTGTTCTTGGTGCAATAGTAATAACTTGGCAACATTTTCATAAGAGTATCTCATATTTCATAGGAATATTGATCTATAATTGTTGACTTCTTGTGCCTGATTAACATCCTGGTGTTTAAAGCTAGTAAACACTGGTTCAGTAAAATGGCACATTGCATCGGCTAACTGAATTATAATTTTTATTTTGCACCAAATGTTGCACATATGGATATGGGAAATGTAAATTAAAGCAGTATATCGTGCTGTTCTGCACATCGCATTTTAACTTGATTTTAACCAAGTACCCTCCGGAACAAACCATTATTGTTGAACAGGGGAGCGGCGGCGCTATTCTAGCGCGAATATGTTGTGTTAATAGTGACATTGTGCTTTACACACCAATATCTGGATAGATTAATATCATAATTATATTTCAACCGTCTTGTTTCTTTATTCAGTCTTGTCGGTTTCTCTGTTTCGAGTGCGATGGAATGCCGCGACGCCCCCCTCTGTTCCGCGAGCAATGGATCGTTCCGGTTTCGCGGTAGCGTACGTGCTCGTAACATAACAATAAAACCAAATCAGACACAAGTAACGAAAAGGCGTACTTGTGTCTGATTTGATAATTTAAATATTTTGGTAGCTGTTTTCATAAACCCTTCTGAGAACCAGAAAAAAAAAAAATGATTTTTTTTTAATTTTTAAATTTTTTTATTATTATTATTTTTTTATGTCATTAACAAATGATGAAAAAAAAGATATTTTCACAATGTATCTATACACTGCATCTAATTTGCATATTAATGTGTTCTTGGTGCAATAGTAATAACTTGGCAACATTTTCATAAGAGTATCTCATATTTCATAGGAATATTGATCTATAATTGTTGACTTCTTGTGCCTGATTAACATCCTGGTGTCCTCTACAGAAGACAAGCATGAGAATTATGCGCCGTTTCGTAACAAAATGTCAGAATTCGGTACCAATACCAGTGAAAATCCACGGTTCTCGGTACCCAAGCTGAATTTGCACATGCACATGTTTCATAAACAGTCCCAAAATTGTGATGATTGCTATAATGACCCCATGCCACTGTCCTGACTGATGCATAAAACAGCAATTTCAGTATTTTGATTCAAGTTCAGATTGTAAACGGCTTAGTTTCCCAGTTTTCCATCACTTAGGTCTGATTTAATCAGCTAAGCTTTTAATTAATTAAATTAAATGTAGGATTTGGCTTTTACTCATTTTCCACGGATTATTTAGTTCATTTTCTATCTTAATGTTTAATTAACTTTGTGACATTTCATCTGCAGTTACTGGATGAAAACAATCAGCTGATTCAGTGCATCATGGACTTCCAGAGTAAAGGAAAAACAGCTGAATGTTCACAGTAAGTTCTGTTACATCAGTCGTGCATGCGCACAGTCTTTGGTGTTTGAGTCTTAACCCTTGTGCAACAGTTTAAAAAAACATTACAAGAGGTCCTTAGAGGACAAAAAATGTCCTCTGTCCTCCTAAAACAAGAAAAAGCTATTCCAACAAAAAAATACACATTTGGGCAAAATGTATGCTGTTTGCATTAATAGCTTGAATGTAAAAAAAACAATGTCCCTAAGGGATGCACAAGGGTTAAGGCAAATCTTGGGTACCTTAAAGGTAGTGCTTACGTTGCACATTTACATTCTCAAATATTGTAGGATGCTGCATTATTCTTTTCCTAATTCAGTCAGTGATCTTGGCACGTTTCTCATTGCTGTCTTGCAGCTACCAACAGATGCTACACAGAAATCTAGTGTATCTGGCCACAATAGCAGACTCCAATCAGAACATGCAGTCTCTGCTGCCCGCGGTGAGTATTTATTCCCAGCTTCCCATCTGACACGGGCTGAATGGCTTTAGCTATGGTATATTAAAATGGTAACAAACAATTATATATTTATATTTATTTTGCATAGTTGATACGTGCTGTATGGTGTGTCACAGCACTGGTTTGAATTGAATTTGAAGTAATGTGTCTCTGTTCCTCAATAGCCACCCTCTCAGAACATGGCCATGAGTCAGAGTGGAGCGACTCCTCAGCTCCCCCACGGTCACAGTATGCCGTCAGACGGGCCGCCCGCAGCACACATGCAGAGCCAGATGAACGGACAGATGCCAGGTACATTCACAGCAGTGCACTCACTGACAAACTCGGAGAACCAGCGACTGAGGAAACCTAAATCCATAGAAGAACGGAGGCACACTTGATGTTAAGTGTGAATGTTTTCAAAAGTAAAAACCGTGTCGTTTTTATTTATCAATTAACTTAAAAAACAAACTAAATTAACAAAATCAAATCAATATTTGGCTTTAAAACAGCTTATTTCTGGGTGGACTTGCTCACAGTTTGCAGGTAGTTTGTTCCAAGCATCTTGGAGGTGGTGCCTTTTTTTTTTTTTTTTTTTTTTTTTTTTTTTTTTTTTTTTTATCAGAATGTTATTTAAAATTGTAGGGTGGGAGAAAAAAATCAGTTCCCTGATGTATCGCTATTCTGTTTTAAAAAAATAA